TGTTTGTCTCAAGCGACAGATGACTGCGAGCGTTTCATCTCAAGATGGCCTAGATTCAGCCTGGCCGCTTCAAATTTAATTCCGCAAATTAACCGAGAAGCCACCAACACCGCTGACCCCCATCTAATTTCTCCCTCTCTCTCTCTCTCTCTCACTTTTTTTTCTCTTTACTAAAAGTGATTCAATTAAAATGTTTCCGCTGGCAGATGGAGATGGAAAAAATAAACTTAAGCGAACGCTGCGCACTCGAAACAAAATGCAAACGTGAACCGAGATGGAAGGGCGTTTATTATTATTATAATAATAATCTAATCCGCGTTAATTATATCGGCTAAACTTTCCTGGGCACTGTTAAATCTGACCTTTATTCGGCAAAAGGTCACCAGCGTCGGGTGATCGTCGAACGCCGCAGGTTCAACGGCAGCGGCAAAGCTATCGGGTGCGCAGGCGGTGCAACTGCACAGCGGCCCACGGGGCCTAGGGGTTACTATAGGAAGAGGGGGGTGGGGTAAATCTGGCAGGGGCCACCCGTTCCGTTCCCTGCGCGAGAGACCATGCCAACCGCGCCGTGCCCCTTGGTGAATGGGCGTCAATTCATTCAGAGGGTCATCTCTGAGGCCAGCGTCCCCCGCGGTGAACCCACAAGACACGTTGTTCTGAACAAGTCTGTTGACGACGTTTGTGTCTACGAGGCGAGCAGTCAACCTCCCTGAGCTGCCACTAAAGAAAGGTCGATAAATTATGTGTTCAAGGATGGAGACGAGACCACTGTGAAGTACTACAAGACCAACCAGCACTGCCACTTAACCACCCACCGCTCCCGTTATGCCATTGGATTCCCATTTGGACACCCTCCACTATCACGAAATCACCCATCACTACCACTAAACCACCCATCACTATCATTAAACTACCTAACATGACCACTAAACCACCCGTTAATCCCACTAAACCACTTATCACTACCACTAAACTACCCATCACTATCATTAAACTACCTAACATGACCACTAAACCACCCGTTAATCCCACTAAAACACCTAACATTACAACTAAATCACCGGTAACTACCACTAAAACACCCATCACTTCCACTCAACCACGTATCACTACCACTAAACTACCCACCACTACCACTAAACCACCTAACGTTACAACGAAACCACCCGTTACTACCACTAAACACCCATCGCTTCCACTAAACCACCCATAGCTACAACTAAACCCACCCGTCATGACGGTAAGAATTGTACACATTTCACAACAGCACTAATGTATGACCTTTGTCATCTCTAAATTACAGAAGAAACACACGGGGATCGGAGGACAAACGCACGTTAGCTGAATCGCATCGCCCGTTAATAAGAGTACTGCAAAGGGGGCCGGGGGGGGGGGGGGGCACGGGACACACCGCGGCAATGAGGATGGATGGATGATGATGGCGGTGGCGGTGGTGGTGGGCCGATGGGCAAAGAACGGTGATGGAACGGGCAGAGTTGGGAACGCGCGCCAGAGGACAACTCCCACCGTTGAGACGGAGCGATAAGAATAGCTGAGGCGTGTGGGACGGAGCGAGATGGATTGTGGCATCAGCGCGGGCAGTGTGGATATATGGGCCCCCTCCGATGCGCGTGTATATTGTAACGCGCCTTGGGGGAATGCATTTGCATCTGGACTCTGGATACAAATATAATGTGGAAAAAAATAAACAAAACAGACAAAGGCACGGCCCCTGCAATTTCTTTCTTGCTTGCTTGTTCACGGCATTTGCTGGTGGAAAGACCGCCAGAAGGTATTTGGTCTACTCTTCCACGCGAGTCATATATCTTTTAAAGAGGTGGGGTGGGGGGGTATACCTATCCAGAATGTACCCCACCGCACGCAAGCAACTGATATATCGAGTGCCGTGTGCTCCATTCCAATTGCTGGGTGGACAGAGGCGGTGGTGGAGGTGGGGGGGCGAATTTAAGAAATGTGCTCAGTTTAATAAATTGCTGAGCCGAGGGATCGAACCGGCGGACCTCTGGATAGCGAGTCGAGCGTGATGCCCGTTACACAGCAGCAGCAGCATCCCTTCTGAGGCCAAACAATAACCCACTGCCCTTTGTCGTCGGTCCACTACTGGACGAAAGCCTCTCGGTGCCGTGTCGGCAATGGGGATTTGTACTCTTAGTTTTTTCGGTAAAGTCACGTAGGTAAAAAAATGAAATTAAATTTTAAAAAATATTAATTTCATTTTTTACCTACGTGACTTTACCGAAAGAACTAAGAGTATGAATCCTTGCAGTCACGAAAGCTTCAAATCTAGAATGGGGATTTGCTTAACCATACTTCACCGCTTTGGTCAATGCAGATTAGTAAAGAAGGGGGGGGGGGCGGCGGGAGGGGGGGGGGGCGGAAAGGAGCACGGCAGAACCGATTCAGATATCAATTCGCCACTGATGCCAGCCGCCGTATTGTCCGGAAAGTAAGACGCACCATTGCGGGGGGGGGGGGGGGGCGGGTCAATGTCGGGGGGGGGGCGTCTTAATGATCCGGTGAATACCGTGTGACTGAGCCGGGTTCACAGCGCAGCGCGTCAACCACTGCGCCACCCACCGCTCCACTCGCTCCAGCCATAGATTCCTTTCGCGAGTGGTTCACGGTGGGGAGGCTCTCTTCGTGCGCGTGTGTAGGGAGGGCGCCGCCTCGCCAACGCGGAGCTGCGATCAACATTGACGCTGGGCACCTTTTTTTATGAGCTAATGAAGTGAGCGAGATGTCCGCTGACGTTTTTGTTGTTGTTGTTGTTGCGTGAACGCGTTTATAACATCTCGGCAGCAGTCGCGTTGGCTTGACGAGCGTTTGAGCGGTGGACTGATTCGTTCCATTGCATTGTAAAGATGCACACTTTTCGAGCCGATTTTATTGCAGTTAAAACAACTTTACGTGCGATGAAGAAGGGGCCATGACCCGAAACGTCGCCGATTATCAACGTTTTCCTTTCACGTGTGCTTATGCACAACTGCCGAGGCAACAGCAGCAGCATCGCGAGAATTCTGCCATGTGTTGACTAATGGTGAATGTGATTCTTTGGGTTTGTCAGTAAAGTCACGTAGATAGGTTCAAAGAAAAAAAAACTACGACGTTTCGATCGCAACACAAGCGGTCGTCATCCTTTTCCTGATGACTACCGCTCGTGTTGCGATCGAAACGTCGCAGTTTTTTGTTTGTTATTTTCTTTGAACCTATCTACGTGACTTTACCGACAGACCCAAAGAATGTGGATTCCTGCAGTCAATATTTAGTGGTGAATGGTAGCGCCTCTAGTGGTTGCCGGTATGATTCGTCAGGGCGGGGGGTTGACACTCGGGCCTCACAGCAACAAGAGACACGGGTTCGACTCCCAACTCGGGGCGCCTTTCTACGTGTGGAGTTTGTATGTTCTGCCCCTGTTTGTATGTTTGTGTGTACGCATGTACGTATGTTCTCTCCTCGTTCTGTCTGGGTTTCCTCCGAGATATATCGGGTTTCCTCCCACAGCTAATAACACATTCCTGCGGAGGGAGCTGGTAGGAACGTTGGGTTGCTCGGTCAATGGTCAGGGTCAACGGCGGCGTGGTGTATTCCGCAAATATGTCCGACTGTGAGGGCGGGCACAAGCCGGCGTGAGTAGGTTAAACGTTGAGTTTTATAAGGGCACCACGGGGTGACCAGTCCCCACCACCCAGCCCCACCCCTCCCACCCCCACCCAGCCCCACCTTCCCCACCCAGCCCCTCCCCACCCTCCCCTCTCCACCCAGCCCCACCCCTCCCATTTTTGGATGCACGACAGACGGACACAATAATCCCCTGTGGGCTGGTGTAACCAGGAAGCTCCTACCAGTATAATAAAATGTCACTGGGAATGTCCAAAGCATTCCGACGCTGAAAAGCCACCTGCAAATCACTCCACTTTGGATCACACACACACGCGCGCGCGCACGCACTCTCGCCAATTTACCAAGCGCAAGGAAAGAAAGACAACACACACACGGGGCTGTCAGCAGCAGCAGCAGCAACAGCAGCAGCCATGATTGATCCACTGCTGGATGACAGCCTACCACCCAACCTGCCTTCCCCCCACCCCCCCCCCCCCACAGCCGTTGACATCTCTCCCGGTTCCGCGACGCAACAATCCACCCAGCAGCCACAGTGCACGGGAGTTGATTTCATCGCTCCGTCTCCACGATGGACGTGATTTTTTCTCGGGTGCGTTGTCTCCTTTGGCTTCCACTCCGTGGTTAGACTCGACCGTCATCCCGTCTAAACACGACGTACCCCTGCTCGAGTCCTTCTTAACTTTCTCAACAAAATTGTTCGGTGGAACTGCGTCGGCAGTGGCTCACAAGCACAACGAACTAAACGAACTGATGAGCAACGTGAGTCATTCATGAGTCATTCATGAGTCATTCGTGTGCTATGGAGAAGAGCCATTGCCTATATATATTTTTTTAAAGTCACAGCGTTATTGGCTAACGCATAGACTTGTATGTACTTTTTGACAGTGAAAACGATTTGAAAATCTGGTACACGTGACATAATGCCTACACTATGAAACGGCGTGGTGACGTATTGAATACAGAGACTCACACATAAAGCCATAGACTTGCACAGAAAGCCATAGACTAATATCTGAATCGGTCCTGGGTATCCCCTAGGTCGACGTGGCCTCAAATGAGAACCCGGTGCGATGTTAAACCATCGCCACGAGGGAGACAAATGCGGTCGGGCGTGGTGTCGTACCTGCCTTCATCCGTGCTCGCTAACAGCACTTGCCAAACAATCTGTTCAGGCTACACGGGGGGGGGGGGGGTCTTTGTGTTTCTGAGTCGGTGGCAGCTGATGACCGGTGACTTTTGCCCCTCGTGGTCCTTGGAGCAGCGCGGCGTGACCTCCGCACTCATCTCTCGCGGACACCGTGACCTCTTACCCACCCCTCCCACCTCTTCTCCCCCTCTCCCCCTCCTCCTCCTCTCACCGTGACCGTGCCGCCGCTCTGCGCCGTCTGCTGCTGCTGATGGTGCTGCTGCTGCTGGTGATGGTGGTGGTGGTGATGCGACGCCGGGGGTTGCTGCGCCACCGCCGCCGTCGTGTAGAGGGCGGCGGCCACCTCGTGATCGGGCGGAGGCGCGACTCCTCCGCCCGGCTGCCCGGAGCCGTAGTCCGGCACGACGCCGTGGGGGAGCGCCGCGTGCGGCGGTGGCGGCGGCGCCGCTCCGTAGTCGGCGGGGACGCCGTTCTGGGACGGCGCCGCGAACTGTCCCGACGGGTACGCGTGCGCCATGGGCTCGGGGGGCAGCGGGGGCTCCTGCGTCCCCTTTACGGGTCGCGGGAGGGCGGTGGGGTGGTGCGGTTGGGGAGTGGTGTGGATGGTAAGGGGAGGGGGAGAGAGAGAGGGTCGGTGGGGGGTGGAGGAGGAAATGTGGGATGGCAACAAATGTGTGCGGGAGTGTGGTGGATGGAGGTGGGGGGAAGGATGGCAAAATATGTGGGGGGCGAGGAACGATGGGGGTTCGAAATGGGGGGCAGGGTGACAAAAGGATGTGGGGGGCGAGGAGCAGAGACAACAATAGCATGAGCGCTGAGCAGGTAATCCTGTTGACTAGCACAACATCAAACATCAATGTGGAGCTGTGGTGCAGTGGTTCGCGGTGCGCACACAGCCAGAGGTAAATGCACCTCGGATACAAATGCATAACGGTCACCACAGCGCTTGTGCCAGGCTAGGTACACTTTGATTGCCAATGCAATCTTCCGTATTGACTCGGCTGATATGGACACGTGCTGTTAGCGAGCACCTATGAAGGCCGACGCGGCGAACTCGGGGTACGGGTATGGCCAGCATTGCGCAGCGGCCGCCTTTGTCTTCCCAGAGATGATGTTTACACACCACACCAGGTCCTAATTTGAGGCTGAGTCGACCTAGAGGAGGCCCATGACCGGTTCAGATAATCGTCACTGGGTGTTGGCCGTGAGCGGGAATCGAACCCGGGTCGTCGGGTTCGTAGCGCAGCGCGCTAACCGCTACACCACCGCTCCCCACCATGTACACACACACGCAAATACACACACACCTGCACCAGCTACTCAGGACCGGTTCAGATATTCGGCACCGTCGTTGCCCGCGAGCGGGAATCGAACTCCGGTGAACGGGGGTGGGGTGGGGGGGGGGGGTCATTAGCGCGGTGCGTACTCGCTCATGCGTGCAGACGGACAGCTCCACGCGTGCAGGATGACATCGCACACGGGAGCCGTGGAAGCGAAGTCGTCCCACAGCCGCCACCACGAGGAGACGGCAGCCGTAGCCGGCTACGAGATCGGCCGTCGCTCCCCTGGGTCCCCCACCACCCCCATCCCACCCCTGGATACTCTGAGCGCGGCTCTGCCACGGCGCCTGAGATGTTTGCCTGTCTGACTGTCTGCCTGTCTGTCGGCGGCGCGCCTGTGATGCTCTCTGTGAGTCTGTTGAACCTCTTCGTGGTTCTTTCGGTAAAGTCACGTAGAAGGGAAGTAATAAAATATAATTATTTTATAAAATATAATTATTTTATTACTTCCCTTCTACGTGACTTTACCGAAAGAACCAAGAAGATGAATCCCTGCAGTCACGAAAGCTTTAAATCGAAATCTGTTGAACCTGATTGGTTGCTTACACGTCCGTCTACCTGTGCGCATGGCTACCTGTCTGCCTGTTCGGTCCGCGCGTCTGTTTTCCCGTCTTTCTGCTGAGTTGTCTGTCTGCCAAACTGCCTGTCTGCGGGTCTATTTGCGTTGTCGGTCTGCCTGTCTGTCTGTCTGTCAGTGCGTACGTCTGCCTGTACGTTCACTTGCCAACCCTACAGGTATGTTCGTCAGCCTGGGTCTGCCTATCAATTCTAGATTTGAAGTTATCGTGACTGCAAGGATTCATACTCTTAGGTTTTTTCGGTAAAGTCACGTTGGTAAAAAGTAAAAATAAATAATAAAAATAATAGAAATAATAATAGAAATAAAATAATAAATCACGACTTGTATTGCCTCCGAAACGTCGTGATTTATTATTGTATTTCTATTATTATATCTATTTTATTATTCATTTTTATTTTTACCTACGTGACTTTACCGAAAAAAACCTAAGAGTATCTGCCGATCAAATCTACTGACTGTCTGTCTGCATGTCTGTCAGACGATCTCTCTCTCTATCTGTCTGTTAACCCTGCATGCCTGTCTGTCTGTTTCCCCCCGCCTGTATACTGATGTGTCTGCCTGTGTGTCCGCCTGGTGGTCTTTGTGTTTGCCTGTCTCTCGCTCGTCCGTGCGTTGTATTTCTCGGCCTTGACACCCGCCGTCGCTTTGCTCCCCTCCGCCTCGCATCTCGCCTCCTCCTCCTCCTCTTCCTCCATCCTCCTCCTCTCCCCCACCGCAATATAACGAGCGACCTTCATTTCAGCGATTATTTATTTATTTGCTCTCGCACAAATGTCAATAATTTATGAAATGTTGCCATTAGCAGGCCTCTTGGAGATCACTTAAACGAACGGCCACTGCTGTGCGCGTGCGTGCGCGCGCGCGCGCGTGCCGTCGTGATGGCCCGTGACATCAACCTTGACTACTTCGTCCGCATTTCACATTTGTAGAAAAATATGACAATGCGAAATAGGGGGATTTTAGCCGGCATGTCGGGGCCAGGGACGGCTAAGATGAGAGCTTGGTTCGGCGAGCGGGGTAGAGCTTGCGCCGTCTGGAGGCGGACGTAATCTTTACGTAAATGATGTTGATGGTGACGTCATGGTGCTTCTTTAATGTATTTAAATAAGTTCGCCACCCTGGTCATTAAGGGTTCGTGGTGGAGGTAGGAAGAGGGAGGGATATGGCATGAGCAGGCAGGCCCAAGACCGGTTGGCATATATCACCAGCCACGATGTTCACCATGCATTGAAATTGAACTGAGGTCGTTGTGGTTTCGGCGGAGTGGGATAACCACTGTACCACCGCTGCCTTTCGACCTGCAACATACATAATGACCGACATGTAGCTCGTGATTTAGTGCTGCTGCTGCCTTGCCAGGTGGTGCACACGCACAAACAACAACAACAAGTCAACACATTCGTCAACAACAACAGCAGCATTCTGTGGTGAGAGTAGTCATATTTTTGGTTTATATTTGGGGGCGGCGTTTCGGGCAATTGCCCCTTCTTCAGAGCACGCAGAGATACCTACCAGCCTGTTCTTTTATGCCAACATTTTGTCAGTAACCCCTCCAGCACCCGACTGGAATGTCACGATTACAAGTATATTATGAGTATTCACTATTATCATTGACACGTGCCGATGAATTTGTGAAACTGCGACCAATAAACCTCCTTCTCATTCGTGGACCGAGACGTTGAACGCCGACGCATGCTGCTCATCCTCCTCGGCTAATGCGGTTTCTTTTCTTTTAGTTTTACTTAAGAGGCGGTAGCGCTTAAGTGGCACGCGCCAACGTGAATCGTCAACCCACTTGCTGTACTGCCACTTGGCCACCTCTGAGTCCACGCAATGTTCCACGCCCTTTGCCCACCCTGTGCGGACGCGCGAGTTACTCCTGTTGGCAAACACGTGCCGAGTAGACATTGTATCGATCCGCCAATTAAATTCGATCCCCAGAATCAATTATTAACGACGAATGCAAATAGCACCTCAATGATATGCAAATGTTACATTTGGCCTTGGGGGATTGACTCGGCCTATCATCCCTCCAGGGGGGGGGGCGGGGGTCGATACAACGAGCACCACTTTGTGAGTCATTCAACAATGGTGTCATAGTGGATATACATCCCAAAACCTCACGCCCCCTCTCCCCCCGTCATAGGAATGTGTAATTTACACCACAGGCGAAGGTTATAAACAGAAGATGCTAACAGCTTCAATGTTGAGGAATCACTACGACTTTTGATGAACGAGACCAAAGATGAATCTCGATTGGTGACAGAGAACCATCCAGACATTTCATTTCAATTTCCCCATTCCCTGCGCCCCCCCCCCCCCTCTCTCTCCTCGTGTGTGCAGCTCGGGACAATGCACGTAAACACACGCACACAACGAGCCATCGATCTCATTTCTCTGGTGCCGTCGCTACGCGAGGTCTATTGCGTGCAGCACTCATCGGCGAGTAGGGAAGGGATGGATCGTAACAGTTTCACCATTACGAGCCTCCCCTCCTCCCTCCACCTCACCCCCTACTCCGCCGATGGACAGCAAGCGGGAGCCACGCGCCATTCCAGATGTGCGGTGTCTTGCAAATGGATTCACTACGCTAGCGAGTGTGTGTGCAGGCGGTGCAACTGCGCCACGAAGTGCGGGGGGGAGGGAGGGCGGTGGGGGGGAGGGGCTGCCCAGGTACCGTAGGACATAGACTCGGACCCATACCAACCTCGCCACTGTGTGAAGTCGTGGTGTGTGGTAGTGTTGTGTGCTGTATTGTAGTGATGGGTGCTGTGTGGTAGTGTTGGGTGCTGTGTGGTAGTGTTGGGTGCTGTGTGGTAGTGATGGCTGCTATGTGGTAGTGTTGGCTGCTGTATTGTAGTGTTGGGCGCTGTGTGGTAGTGTTGGGTACTGTGTGGTAGTGTTGGCTGCTGTGTGGTAGTGTTGGGTGCTGTGTGGTAGTGTTGGGTGCTATGTGGTAGTGTTGGCTGCTGCGTGGCAGTGGTGGGCGGTGTTTGGCAGTAATAATAGGTGACGTGTGGTACGAGGAGCTGAGGAAATTGGACAAGGGACCCCCATTCCATCCATTGCATCAGGACCTATGCCAACCGCGCTACGCCACTGGCAGCACAAGCCTCAACACGCGTGCTCCAGGATCGGTTATAACCGCGTGGGAGTTCAAGATAAAGTACCCCCGCCCCTCCATCCCACTCACCCCCCCCTCCGCCGCACACCACCACTGAACACACGAGGCATTGTCGGGACTATTTTGTGCGCGTGTAAGACTTCGTCCCCATGTGCGAGTGTCACCAGGAATAATGGGTGTGAGCGCATCCTTTGCAGCATCCGCTGTGTTTTCATCCCGGTTCTGAGATTTTGAGGGGTGGAGGCTGTGGGGGGGGGGGGGGTATAGCACCGACGGCAGCTTTGATACCCGAGCCCTCGGATGAATGGCATCGAATGGCATTGGTGTACGTGTGCATGCTGAACTCCTTTCGCGCCGTACCGAGCCAGCCGTGCCGATCGCAGGTTCAGCGCGCTGCCAATGCGCCCAACCGAAATTTACGACCAGCCTGGTGAAGTATGGCAGAAAAGCCGGCGGCGTTGTGGGGTGGCGGGGGGGGGTGCATCATCCACCAGTGGATTAATGAG